CCTGACGGCTCCGAAAACCGGAAACCGGACTCTGAAATGGGCAAAATGGCCTACGGCCACCAAATGTAGCCTACGGACATTGAGAGATGGTCTACGGGACCTCTCCCTCCCCTCAGGAAAAGAAACAGAGAAAACTGAGTCTGGTTCGCAAACCGAGACAAGGCACAGAAGAGGGTTCGGAAGTCCGGAGGCAGGGCTCGCGGCCACGACTCTGAGACTTCTGAACAAGCACATTATGTAACATCACCAAGCGCTCAATCGGTGACGTCTGAGTCTTAAGGTCGGTCAAAAATGGGGTATCTACAGCATCACATAGTAAATCTAGGCTACTAACCGGAATAAGACCACATAACGTTTTCAAAACTCGATATTATGGTTAGTAGAGGCCGATCTTTGATCGGGCGAGCGAGGGTGCTCATAGCTGACCTTCCCCAATCGTACCCAAGTTCCCAAGTTGAGGCAACTTTGGTGATGACAGACATGTGGCCTTAGGCAACGAATCAGGGTTTCCTAAATTCCCCTAAAATAAATATTTAGGTGGCAACTCTGTATCTGGTAAAGCAGTCCATGTTTGGCACTTCTTTACAAAATCTATTTTTCAAAACAATTTGCCGGATTTGGACTCTTTGGTGATTTATCAATCTCACATTGCACATTGTGAGATCAGATTAAGAACCGTGACAACATTTGAGTCCTGAACTGTAGTGAGCCCAATGAATAAAACGGGGGATCCCCTCTCCCCCCCCTGAGACGTTTGGGGACGTCTACAGCTCGGATATCGAAGAGTTCCCGGGAGCGCGTCTACACGGCCCAGTGTCGCTAGAAGAGTTATGCCAACCGTAGGAGGAGACCCTTGTCTCTTGAGGTGGGAGATCATGTCTTTTTGAAGATATCACCTAGGAAGGGTTTGATGAGGTTTGGAAAGAGGGGGAAGTTATCCCTTCGATTCATTGGGCCTTTTGAGATCCTTGAGCGGATTGGAGAGGTAGCTTATCGTTTGGCCTTGCCACCACAACTCTCCGGGGTTCATGATGTGTCTCATATTAGCATGCTTTGGAAGTATGAGCCGGATCCATAGCATGTGTTGGATTGGACTGACTTGGAGGTAGATGAGGATGCCTCGTATGAGGAAAGGCCGATTAGAGTCTTGGATACTCGGGATCAAGCCCTGCGAGACAAGACAATTCCCTTGATGAACGTATTATGGAAACATCATGGGGTTGAGGAAGCAACTTGGGAACGCGAGTTCGAAGTCCGTGAGAAATATCGGGACTTATTTGTTGATGATTGAACATGTAATGAAATTTTGTTATGTTAATAAAATATGAAAACATTGTATATGTTGTGTATTTTTTGGAAACACGAATTTAATGTAAACATTGTAAATGTTTTGGAAAATGTGGATTTTACTTCAATATTGGAACTTGTGTATCAAGTTGATGAAAATGGATGTTGGGGGAATGGGTCATGGTATTGGAATTGGTTATCTATCATTATTGTGTTTCGTTTAAACATAATTGTGAAACTTGATTTGAAATTTCGAGGCCGAAATTTTTTAAGGGGGAAAGGTTATTGCGATTTCGGTTTTGGTTACGGGTTTCTTGGCTTCGTACTGTTGAATATGTCTTGCTTATCTTATTTTCCCTTAAACTTGGGTTCGGGATTGTTGCGGTTGTGTTTGGAACAAGTTGGTTATTTGTTTTCCCAACTCTTGTTGCCCAGAATTTTGCTCTTCCGCTCGAGCCGCACTTCTTGTGCTCTAGTGGGCTTTGCAAACTCTCAGTACTTTTGCAGGTTTGCAAAACTACAGGGAGAGTGTATTCTACGCTCGAGCAAGTGTGCGCTCGAGCAGCCATTCTTGCTCTCGAGCGATGGTCTTCTGTCTGCAAAACTACTGGATGTGTGTATTCTGTGCTCGAGCAGTCATTTCTTGTGCTCAAGCGAAACAACTTGTCATGTCTGACGCTCGAGCGTCACTTCTCATGCTCGAGTGGACTGTGCGTATATCAATTCGCAGCAAGACCATTTTACATCACTTTTTCATATCTTTTCCCACCAAATCCCAAGATCTAGCACTTCTCTCTCTAAAACTCACTATCTGTCTAATTTTTCACCTAGATTTAGTGGTTTCTACACCCTACTCTCTTTGTTAAAAAGGTAGAGCGTCTCAAGAGCTCTGTTTTGATCTGAGTAAAAGTTGGTTTCGACGTCCTTGAAGTTCTTCCATTGTTGCTTTGGTCAACTAAGCTTGAGGTAGGGACTCTTTACACTCTCTATGGGTTTTAACTTGGCTATTCCTTGATGTGTGAAAAACATTGGGTTTTGATGTATTTTAACAAACCCAGGGTTTGGGGTTTAAGTTCAAAATAGGGGTTTCAAAAAGGGTGTGTTGGAAATGATCATGGGAATGGATATAGACTTGTGTTGTGTTAAAATAGATGATGTGGTGGTTGAGATGAGTTTTGGAAGGAAATAGGGTTTTTTCCTAAAATGTTCAAATAATTATTTTGCATAAATAATGAAATTGGAAATGGGAATATGAAATTAGATGAATGTTTATATCAATGGTGAATTTGGGTGCGTATCATCTCCCACCTATGAAAATTTGACAAATTTATCTATTTTAAAGATAGTATATCTGTTTAGGGCTATCAGTGGAGGATAGCATGGTTATTATAGAAATTGCATAAGGATTAGGTCAATTGAAACTAATCTCTTATTGATTGTCAATGAATATGACCATGCTAAATACATTGTATGTGTATGATGTTTGGGAGGAGAAAGGAGATGGACTCCATTGAATTAAGTTGGCTTGTGCGTCTAGGGTGAAAGTCCCGAAGACATTGTATATACATGGGTGCCGATTCCTACGGATGAAATTTTCATAAAATGGAAAATTGAAGTGTTTGTGTGTAATGGTTGTGTGGTAAGAAAACCACTGAGTTATAATCTTAGTTGGGTTGTCAAGAAAATAATGGATATGACTCATGAATTAAGGAGATATGAAATGACATGAAACGAATTGATATAAAATGGATTGGGATATCATACTTGGCATAATATGAATTTGGAAAGAAGAGTTGTAAATGATTTTATTTTGAGCATTGGCTATGTGCATCATGTTTATAACCTTATTAAAGTTCATACATTATGCTAGATTGTTTCTGCTGGGCTCTGGCCCACCCTATTTGGGAAAAACTATTTTCAGGTGCCGGTGATATGCCTCTGCCAAGGTAGTAGCTTGGAAGGATTGGGAGCAAGAGCCTATTTGTTATATCTATTTATGTATAGCCAAGGGCTTTAAATTATGTTGAGCTAGACTCACTTTTGTTGTAACCAAGAACTATCTTGGAAAGATGTAAGCCCGTAGGACATTTATTTCGTTGATTATTTAGTTTGATGCCACATGCTATAGATTCAAGGTAGATGTAACAACCCCGACCTCTGATTAACGTTAATTCTTGATTAAATAAGCCTAATCAGTAATTAAGGTGAAATTCTGAATTAATTGCATGTGTGTCGCATTAATTGTGCTTATATCTGTCTAATGTAGAAATATCTATTTGAATTTCTATTTTATTCTGTGAATTGAAGCCCTTATCGGCATTCAATCACTAAATTGGCTTGATTTATGGTAGGTTTAATTACTTTTGATTCAGAATGAATTAATTAGAATAAAATAGTGTCCATTTGATTAGCGGTAAGCTTAATTGATTAAAATCCCTAATCAAGCCTATATAAGGCTAATCTAACTCCTTGAGATCATTTTGGCACCTTCATTTCATCCTCCTTGAGATCCAAACGTAAAGAAGAGTAAGAAGAGTGAACATAGATCCATTTTGGAGAGGAATTAAGTTCAAGCTAAGGGAATTGCTAGGAATTGAAGGCATTGGATTTAGAGACTCAAGAATTAAGCCTCTAGCTCACACCTTGGGAAGCCTAGGTAAGAGTTCAACCCTTAGATGGTACAATTATGATGTCTAGCTCATGAAGTCAAGAGCATTGAGCCATTCATGCATGCATGCATATATCATAGCATTTTGAGTATGTTTCTAAAGAACTTTCACATACATGTGCCTATCTTGAATAGGTTTTGTGAATTCATCACATTTTTTACCATTTGACCTTAATTGATCATGTTTTGGAAAATCTAAGTTCATAGTAATTCATGCATGTCATGTTCATGGCATGTTCATAAGTTTCAAGTTGACTTTTGAACAATTGACATGCTATTGGGCCTTGATTTTACGAAATGGTTTTGAATTCAAGATGTTTTCCAAGTTTAGACATGTTTTCTCAAGTTTTGGGGCCCAAAGGTTGAGTTTAAAGCATTGAATTCGAGCTTTGCATATTAGAGGTGAATCTGGAAATTTTAGAATTCAACCTCCCGCTTGAGCGACAAAACTTGCACTCGAGCAACCACTCTGTGATCTTGCATTTCACTCTCGAGTGACCAAAAGTTTGCTTGAGCTAGAAATGCAAGCTCCCAGAAGTTTACACATTTTGCAGACCGCTCGAGCGACAGGAGTTGCGCTTGATTAGGGACCTCAGTCTCACGCTTAAGCGGCCATCGAGCGGAGAATTCACACAACTAGTACTTTTTCAGAGTTTACAGACCGCTTAAGCGAAGGAAGTTGCGCTCGAGTGGCCCCTCATATGTTTGTATGTCCGCTCGAGTGCAAATGAGAGAAGTTGCGCTCGAGCGCGACCCCTATTTTCAGCAAGTTTTGTTAAGAGTTCCAAAGTGCATTTTGGCGTCCACATTGCATCCTGGGCATTCCTAGGCCATGATTAAGACACAATAAGAGGTTAAAGACCTAGAAACACACTAAAAACGAAACAAATGAAGTTAAGTGCCAACCGAGTGTGTGTTTCATTAGGTGTTTCTATTATGTGTGTGTAGGTCACACGCAACGAGTTACCTGATTTGTCTGTTCTGCAAGTGGAGCCATCTGTGAGTAATAACTTAGTAAAGCTATGTTCAACTTTATTTATTTTATGTATGATGAAATAAGATCTATTCTATGAAATGTTATGTTCTGTAAAATGAATGATTGTCCAACTTTTGACAAGTATTCGGGGCTTAAGTAAGTTATCTGTTCCAGGTCCGAAGGTTCCTGTATGGAACTAACAAGTTATCTGTACCCAGCCGGAGGTTCCTTAATGACAAGTTATCCGTATTCGGTCTCGAGGTTCCTTGATGGAACTGACAAGCTATTTGTACTCGGCTGGAGGTTCCTTTATGGAACTGACAAGTATGATCTTCGATGCTCCGTATGTGATCTGTTAGCGCTAACGAATGTAAGATTAAGTATGAATTCTGATTTCTATCATTGACTTGAACAAGAATATGAATATAAATCTGTTTCTAATTGAAATATGAGCATGCATAAGACTCTGTTTCTGATAATGGACATCATTCATTAAAACCCTTTACTCTGTTATTATTCACTGGGCTTCTACTCATTATTTATATTTATGTATCTAGGTGAGCAGACGCGTGACCAGGCCTAAGCTGCTGCCCGGCGAGTTTTGGGTCAGCCAATCACCATGCCTCTCGAGGAGGTTCCTTTTTGAGAAGTCAAGTTTTGTGGTCCTGTTGAAGATGTTCTTTTGTTTTTGTTTGGTTTGTCTACTTGTACATTAGGTGAAGTCCCTTATGATGCTATGTGTATGGAAGTTTGACATCATATAAGTTTCAAATATTGTCTGTTTCATGCATATCTCCATAGCTCTATAGACCTTGTATTTTGTATAATGGCTTCCGCAACCTCTTATATTTTGTTATTCTGTTAATGGACCTTTGGTAATCCTAGGATTACTAGCCGGTTACGCCGCTAAACCTACAGGGGCAGGTTTGGGTCCTGACATTAGCAGTGATTAGGTAGTGCTTAGCGATGACCACTGGCAGAGTAGTTCTCCTGGTAGCCTACTAGTTTGCTTAGGTGGTGCTTAGTTATGATCATTGACCGATACATGTACTTTGGTAGGATTTACTAGAATAAAAGGATGATTTGGATTGTTACAATATTTGGGAGAGAGAGAGAGAGAGAGAGAGAGAGAGAGAGGGAGAGTTATATTATGTGTATATTCAATATCATATATCTTATAATACAATAAAGAGGCCTATAGATAGGTAAAGTAAAAATGGGCAACAAGAAAGCTATAGAAATATCCTAATATGGTAAAACCTAATTACAGTATCTAATATATATAGTGAATATAATATATATATACCGTATTCACTAACAGCTCCCCTCAAACTCAAGGTTGTTGCAAAGAGACTAACTGGAGCTTGGAAAGAGAAACTAGAGAAAATAAAGTCAAATAACAATAATAATGGTGGATGACAATTTATGGTTGTACCAGACCATTGTAGGAGTGGCTGAGGCTAATGTCGAAAGACAGTTTATGATCGTGTCGGATTGTTATAGGATCCGAGTTAATGGAGCTCATGCTGGGAGACATTTATGGTCCTGCCAGACCGTTGTAGGAACATGGCCAAAGCTAATGGAGCTAATGCCGGTAGACAATTTATTTTCGTGCTGGACCATTGTAGTAGAAGAATGAGTGTTGAACCAGCAAGCGTAGCACATACGTAACTTGTGACGTGGTGCTGAACGGTGATGGCAATAGATGAATAAATGCACCAGGAGACAGCTTGGAAGGGAACCATGTGCACCAGGGATGGCTTGGAAATGAACCATGTGCGTTAGGAGGCGGTTGTGGCTCGCCTTTTTCGCGCCCCATTTCAGAGGTTTGAAAGAAAACCCTACAGTTCAGACTCCTGCGGTTCTGAATCTAATCTCACAAGTGCAATGTGAAACTGATAAACACCAAAGAGTCCAAATCTGGCAAATTGTTTGGAAAATCGATTTTAAATCAAATAATGCCAAAATTAGACTATTTTGCCAGATACAAAGTCGCCACCTAAATATTTTTGTCTTGGAGAAATTTAGGAAACCCATGACTCGTACCGAAGGTCACGTGTCCGTCATCACCAAAGTTGCCTCGACTCAGGAACTTAGGTACGAGAGAGGAAGGTCATGAATTGAGCACCCCCATTCACCTGATCAAAGATCGGCCTCTACTAATCATGATATGATTTTTCATAAACATTATGCGTTCTTATTCCGAGTATTAGGCTAGCTTTACTATGTGATGCGCACAAGTAAGTATAGACTAGTTTGCTCAATTTGGAACAATTCAACTCATGTTTGTTTGCGAAAATGGTTTGAATTTGCCACCTCAAGTGGGCTTAAAGATTATGGATTTACCACCAAACATAGTGGGCTTAAAACATGATTTGCCACTCAATAAAGTGGGCTTAAAACATACATTTGTTGAATCGTTCCAATTTAAACAGTAACCCTTCATCCACAGACATTCAAGCAGTTTAGCATTTAAGCACATAGCCTCATGGCAAGCATGCTAATCATGGCAACATTCACATTTATGCAAGTATGCTCAAGCGAAAAAAACTCACCTAGTACTCCGCGCAAAGAAAACAAAGTTAAAAAATTATGCATGATTCCTAATTATACAAGATGCCTAATGCAACGCATGCAATATGCAATTAATAGGCTTGGGTACTAATATGGCATATGAATCGATTTTGAACAATATGCGATTAAACACGTATTCAAATAAGACATTGAAATGGTAATGCAGTTTGAATGATGCACCGAGCCTCGGTGCATGTAATACAAGATGAATGGATGCAAGCATGCAATATGCTAATTAAGACATGACCCTAATCTAACCATAAAAAACGATTAAATAAAAGAGAGAAAGACGTGGGGTTGGAAAACATACACACACGCACGCAC